GACCTGAGCTGAAGGCAGACGCTTAACGACTGAGCCACCCAGGCGCCCCTACACATCTATATTTTAATATACCTTATAGATACATAATTTTCTTTTAAATAATCCTACTTTTGACTTATCAAGTTGCTTCTGTCACTTGCTTAGAGCAGAGTAACTGTGGGCATGGTCCTTTGTCAGGTCATTTGGGTGGTGAAGGGCTTGGTTTGGTTATGTTTGGGTTTGTTTTACAGCCAAAAGTACACATAACAGTGTTTGGCTAACCTGGAAATGAAAACCAGTGGCTGCAGAAAGAATATAGTTAACTTTGGAAACTCATTCTCAGTGGAAACCTATAAATAAATACCCGGAAAAATACTCAAATTTTGTGTCCTACTAGAGTGGTTAGTAAGATCATCTTCGTATTTGAAGGACAGCACCATTATTGAAATATAATGAGTTCATGATTTGGGTTTTTCCTTTGTAAAACTAATTACTTGCCTAAAATTGGGCCAAAGAACATTACAAATATTACTCTTAGAAAAGAAAGTGACAGGGCCTGGACAAAGAGAAGTGGACTTAATGCCTCTGTTTCATGAAATTAGAATGAACTCTCACATTAAATATCCAGAGAGGCCCAGTAAGTAACCTGCTTATGCCAGGGCTCAGTTCCCACAAAATAAATATATCGCTTTCATGAATTCATATACCACTAAAAAAATCCCAGATGTAACAAAAAATTCAATGCTTATGACAAATATTCTACAAATACTCTAGGATAGGTACATAGCAATACAAATGACAGATATTAAAGGTTAAAACATTTGTTTTTGTTGGTTTGTTTCTTGCTCCCTCTGGCTATTCCTTGTCCTTAGGGCTGCTCCCCAAAACCTAAAGCTGTTTTTGATCTCTCTTGCTATTCCCCCAAACCTGAGACTGTTCCCCTTTGGAAATTCTGGTTGTTTTTTTTGCCCTGTGTCTGATACTTTAGGATTTGCTGTTCCCTGGGAAAAATATCTTTTAAGTAGTACCCTTTAATAAATGCCTAATACTAAAAAAATTTTTTTCTCCTGCAATTTCCCCAATGAGCAAAAACACTCACTACCCCAAACAACTTTATCCACCACTTAGGAAGAAAATTTGATGCTAATTTTGCTATTAGATTTGTCACTCTTCCAAAGCAATCAAATTTTTCTCCTAAGTTTTGGTTTCACATTTATTTGATGGATATCAGATCTAGGGTGACAATTTTAAACAACTGTTTTAGTACCATCTGGTCTGTCAGTCTGCAAAAGTCTTTAGGTTTCAAAAGTCAAAAAATAAAGGGATATTTAATCATGTTTTGCACCTTTCAGCACTGCAACAGCAAGTTATGGTCCAAGAAACTGGCCCACCAGAGACTGACTACATAGTTATGAATATGAAAATTAGAAGCAGGTAATGACTGGAGTTGGGAATGGCCTTGGAGACTTACATCAGATCAAGGGAATCACTCATCATTCTCTAAATGACCTTAGTCAAGTTCTGCTGCTAAAAAGCTATCTGCTCCTACTTAGCAGGATGTCAACTGGCTTTTCTCTTCAATGTTAATTACTGAGGTTCCATTAGGAAATGTACATAACTGTTTCTGAAAGCAAGTAGCCAGCTAAGTCAGATGGCCTGCCAACCATCTCAGAAAATCTCTTTTCCCTTTGTATTCATTTTGAAGCTGTAGCTACCACAATTATCAACAGTTGCTTGATAATAAAAAAATTAGGTCCATATCTGGCCATAAAATAAGGACTAAGTAGATGTTTTCATTTTAAGACAGTTTTTCACTGGCCATTTTAATCTCTACAACAAAATCACTTAACATTTATTTGCAGTTGGTTAAGTTGCAAAATAAAAGTAAGTGTAAATTAACTTCGGTTCTGAGGACAATAAAAAAATTTGTTGACTATATCTTTTTTTATTTTGGTATCATAACCAATGACCAATTTCTTTCCTACATAAAAATTTTTTTGTAAAAATTATGAGTGACAAATGCTTACTGTAAAAATGCAAGGAACACACAGGTATAAAAGCAAAACCATCCCCTCTTCCTTTCTACCCATCCAATAATGTTCATATGGATATTTCTTTGGCTACCAAAAGCCTACCTTTTTACTCAAATATCTATTTCAAACTGACCGCTTAGCTTAGAAACGAAAATCTGAAACTCACCAATAACTTTAAATTACTCTGACATTTCAAAAGCACAAGACATATACATATACAAACATATACATGTTCCGACATTGTAAGTTCTAATGCAGCTGGCAATACTTAGTTTAAGGACTCCAACTCAAAAAAAAAAAAAAAAAAAAAAAAAAGGACTCCAACTCAAAAGCCCAAACTGTTTAGACCTGGAACCAAAAGTGGTTCTGGGCAGGCAGCCACAGGGCAAACTATCGAGACAGTACCTGCTGAAAGGAATCTTCAAATAATGTCTTTCTTGTCACTGTAATCTTTATGTGCTGTGGCATGGCCAGTTGCTGAAACGTAAGAATGACTTAAGTCAACTCTATTAAAATAGCCTATTGAAAAACCAAAAGAGTGAAGTTCTATTTACTTTTATCTTTGCTTAGAGAAACAAGTAGAGTATGAATATGAACTTATTTCAATACTGTTTAACCATGCATTTGTGAGCATTCATGCTAATTACAGATCATTTGATATATAACAAAAGAAAACAGATCTCATATGCAGTGCTTAATGAGTCAAATAAATCTTTAATTTTATTTTCAAAAAGCTAACTTAGATTATTCTTGCTTGCCTGGGCCCAGTTAATTACATGAGTTTGAAGTTTAAAAATATTCATCATAGTAACATTTTGATTAGTACATTAATTTTATTTAGAACCCATAAAGAAATCATTAATTCAGAAAATATATATCAGAAATAACTGATCACATCTGGGAAGAATACTCAGAATGTAACCATATATATATACAAATATATATCAAATATTAGATGTGAAAGGGGCTGGTTACAATCTATACACCAGAAAATGTTTTAACTCATTTGTTTGAAGATTTTTGCAATCTTAGAATTACGGGTACTGAAAGGAGAGTAGCACTTTATTCAAACTGTTTCAAGTTTATTCTTCTGGACTACAGAAGCCACAAATGATCTAACTGATAAATCTTTTTCTTTGCCCTAAAAATAGAAAAAAGAGATTCCGATGCTTCCAATTTTACCTGTTTTTCTAGGAATTATTTTCACAATCACTGTGTAATATAAGCAACATAACAAAAGAAAGGGAGTACAGAAAAAAGTCCTGATACTAACCTGACACCAGAACCGGAAATACTGAACTTTTGCCTTGAAGTCCCGTACATAGGCTATCTGTGGTCCATTGTCTCTGAGGAGGAATGTTAATATGACATATTTAGCAGCTCGTAAGATAATATATAGAAGGAAAGCAAAATACCACACCCCCTTAGTACTCAGTCAAATATAAAAATACTGTAGCATAGCATACTCCTAAACACCACCTTAAAAAAAAAATTTCCCAGGACTAGTTTTAAATGACAGAAATTTAGATCTTTTTAAAGGCATTGTTGTGGGATTTTCTTTTTTTTTTTTTAAAGATTTTATTTATTTATTTGAGAGAGAGAGAATGAGAGACAGAGAGCACGAGAGGGAAGTGGGAGAAGCAGACCCCCTGCCGAGCAGGGAGCCCGATGCGGGACTCGATCCCGGGACTCCAGGATCATGACCCGAGCCGAAGGCAGTCGCCTAACCAACTGAGCCACCCAGGCGCCCCGGGATTTTCTTTTATATATAGCGAAATCTAACAGGACTAGGTAAAGGAAGTTCTATCTGGGAATGTTGCCTATCCCCAAATCCATTCTTTCCTTTATCCTTAAATCAGACTTCTGATATCTACCTGGGCAGACTGCTACCTAGAATAAAGATTACATTTCTCAGCGTGGTTGTGTGACTTAACCATGGCTAATGAGCTGTAAATGTATAGGACTTCCGCAAAGGCTCTTTTAAAGAGAGTGAAGATAGCTAGAAAAGGATTTTTTTCTCTTTCTCTCTTTCCAATTTGTTGTTCCTCCATATTCCAGCCTAGAATGGATTGATAGCAGAAGTTTCAGCAGCTATCACACACTATGAGGTAACTGAGAAAAGAGCCCATGGTCTGGGATGGTAGAACAAGAAAGTAAGAAGCCTAGATCACTGATGACACCATGGGGCTTCCAAGTAAGCCCTGGACTTACTTTTTTTTTTTTTTAAGATTTTATTTATTACACACACACACAGAGGGAGAACAAGCACAAGCCGGGGGAGTGGCAGACAGGGGAGAAGCAAACTCCCCGCTGAGCAAGGAGCCTGATGTGTGGCTCGATCCCAGGACCCTGGGACCATGACCTAAGCCAAAGGCAGCTGCTTAACTGACTGAGGCACGTAGGCGCCCCGCCCTGGACTTCCTTTAAATTTGTTTTCTAAATGTTCAGTGTAGAAATACAATTGATTTTAGGGGTACCTGGCTGTCTCGGTCAGTAGGGTGGGTTCGGGCTCTGTGTTGGGTATAGAAATTACTTAAAAATAAAGTCTTGAAAAGAAAAGGAGGGGAGGGGAGTTCCCAATGAGTTGGGAAGTGTTCCCATTGCTTGTATTTTATGAAAGAATTTGAATAGGATTGATATTATTACTTACAGTTTTGATAAAATTCACCAGTGGAAGCTGTCTATGCCAGAATTTTCTTTGTGGGAAATTGTTTAATTATGAATTCAATTTCTTTACTAGATAAAGGGTTATTTAGATTTACTATTTCTTCTTGTGTTCATTTTTGTTACTTGTATCTTTCAAGGAATTTGTCAATTTGATCTAAAATATCAAACTTCTTGGGGCACCTGGGTGACTCAGTTGGTTAAGTGTCTGACTCCTGATTCTGGCTCAGGTCATGATCTTAGGGTCTTCAACTGAGCCCCACATCGAGCCCCACATCAAGCCCCCTGCATCAAGCCCCGCATTGGGCTCCATGCTTAGCTTAAGATTCTCTTTCCCTTTCCCTCTGCCCCTCCCCTCCCTCTCTTTAAAAAAAAAAAAAAAAAAATCAAAATTCTTGGCATAAAGTTGTTCAATATACACTTTGTTATCTTTCAATGTGTGCAGGATATGTAGTGATGTCCTTTCACTTTCATATTAATTTGTGTTTTCTTTTTTTTCTCCTCAGGTTTACTAGGGGTTATTGATATTATTAATTTTTTTCAAGATCCAACTTCTAGCTCTGAGTTCTCTATAGTTTCATTTTCATTTTGTTAATATCTGCTTTTATGCTTATTTCCTTTTTTGTGCTTATTTGGGGTTTAACAAACTTTTTAGAGTAAGGTGAAAGCAGTGATCACTGATTTTATACCTTTCTTATTTTCTAATCTAATCCTATACAGAGCAAGAAAATTTCCACTGAGGACTATTTTTGTTAAACCCCACAAACTGTGATATGGTGTATTTTTATTATCATTAAATACAATGTTTCCTAATTTCTCATGACGTTATTGAGCCACGGGTTATTAGCAGTGTACTTAATGATGGAAAGAAACGTATTTCTGTCATAAAGGAACCACTATGATTTTAAGGTTTTCTGTTTTATATCTGTTATTTACATATTTAAATATTTTTAAACATTTAAATTCAATTAATTAAAATACATTATTGGTTTCTGAGGTATAGGTCAGTGATTCCTCAGCCTTATATAATACCCAGTGCTCATTACATCACGTGCCTCCTTAATGTCTATCACCCGGTTACCCCATCCCCCCACCTCCCTCCCCTCCAGCAAGCCTCAGTTTGTTTTCTATGATTAAGAGTCTCTTATGGTTTGTCTACCTCTCTGATTTCGTCTTGTTTTATTTTTTCCTCTCTTCCCCTATGGTCCTGTTTGGTTCTTAAATTCCACATGTAAGTGAGATCATACGATAATTATCTTTCTCTGACTGACTTATTTCACTTAGCATGATACCCTCTAGTTCCATCCACATCCTTACAAACAGCAAGATTTCATTTTTTTGATGGCTGAGTAGTATTCCATTGTGTGTATGTATATATGCACATACACCACATCTTCTTTATCCATTCATCTGTCGGTGGACATCTGGGTTCTCATAGTTGGGCTACTGTGGACATTGCTGCTATGAATATTGGGGTGCAGGTGCCCCTTCAGATCACTATATTTGTATCTTGGGGGTAAATACCCATATTTAAATAATTTTTAATTTCATTAAAATTTAAGTAGCCTGAATTTCTAGTTTCTTCTTTACATATGAAAGTTTTTTAAGATTTTATTTTTAAGTAAACTCTACACCCAACATGGGGCTTGAACTCACAATCCCGAAATCAAGAGTCACATGTTCTACCAACTGAGCCAGCCAGGAGCCCCCAACGCTTTTAATAAGCAGAAATTATAAAATTCAAAAAGTAACAAGAGGTAAACATTGCCCTGATATCAAAGCCAGAGACACTACAAGAAAACTACTAACCAGTATTTCTGATGAACTGATATGAGTCCACAACAAAATATTAGCAAACGCAATTCAGCAGTATATTCCCTCAATATAAGAGCCATTTATGAAAATCCCACAGATGACAAACTCAATGGTGAAAAATGAAAGCTTTCCTTCAAAGATCAGGAAAAACGCAAGGCTGCCTGCTCTCCCTTCTATTCAACATAGTATTAGAAGTTCTAGCCAGCGGGGAGCCTGGGTGGCTCAGTTGGTTAAGCAACTGCCTTCGGCTCAGGTCATGATCCTGGAGTCCCGGGATCGAGTCCCGCATCGGGCTCCCTGCT